TCTTTTAAAGAACTCAAAGAGCTAGAGCTAAGATATTTAGCATGAAACATGTTCTAATGGGTGTCTACCAAGTATGTTCAAATAAAAGCCCTGGGGTCAAAACTGGCCTCGCCCCGGGGGTCATTGATTTTCCTTATATGTGTATAGCAAAAACTTAAAAAGCTTCTTTGAAAAAAACCCAAATAGCTAGAGTTTAGATATTAAGCATGAAACATCTTTAAGTAAATGTCTACATAGTTTGTTCAAATAAAAGCCCGGGGTCAAAACTGGCCCTGCCCCAGGGGTGTCATTGTTTTTAACTATATGTGTAAAGTAAAAACTTAAAAAATCTTCTTTTAAAAAACCCAATGAGCTAGAACTTAGATGTTTAGCATGAAAGATCTTCTTATGGGTGTCTACCAAGTCTGTTCAAATAAACAAATAAAAGCCCTTGGGTAAAAATTGGGGGGGGGGGGGGGGGCTATATACAGGTGAGCGACCTCAGGGCCATCATGGCCCTCTTGTTAAGAATTTTGCTTTTAAAAATGTTATATTTTGGTAACAGGGATGTTTCAAATATTAACTTTAGAGTGTCCTTCAGTCAGTCCGACTGTCTGTCTGTTCATAAAAACTGTTTCCTGTGATCACTTTTAAAGAACTTTTCCAACAAATTTACTTCAAATAGAGAAAAATTGAAACATTAGTGAATGGCCAATGGCCCTTCAGAATGTTGATGGGGTTCTAACCGGTAGGGGACTTATGGATTGCTTGCAATACTATGATAATTGCTTGTTTTATTAGTCCCCTACCGGTTTAACCGGAGGGGACTTTAGGTTTACCCTCCGTCCGTCTGTCTGTCAGTCCGTCCATCCACAAAACTGGATCCCGCGATAACACAAAAAGTACTGAAAATATTTTTATGAAACTTAATATATGTATAGATGGCAGTATGGAGATTATGCACGTCTTTTTTTTTCCTTCTTTGTTGAAAATTCTGGTTGCTATGGCAACAAATAGTCTGAAAATATGGCAATTTTAACACATAAACTGGATCCAGTGATAACTCAAAAATTACTGAAAATATTTTTATGAAACTTGAAATATGGGTAGATGGCAGTCTGAAGATTATGCTCATCTTTTTCTTTTCTTCCTATGTTGAAAATTCTGTTTGCTATGGCAACAAATAGCCTGAATTTCAAGATTTCTGATTTAAATTTTCAGCTTTTTCACTATAAGTTCTTTATTTCTTTAGGTGTTTACTTCAAACTTTAAATATAAGTTTCTGGTCATCAACCACATCATATGTGACAAGGTTTACAACTCTAGCACACAAATTATCAGTATTACCTCCCTTGAACTTAGAATTTTTATGAAAAAAAAAGGTTGTCTTTTTTAAATAACTTCTTTATTTCCTAATGTATCTACTTCAAACTTCATATATATGTTTCTTATTATCACTCAACATTTTTGAGAAGGTTAAATACTCTAGCAAGACTATTTCCAGAAATATGTCCCCCTTGAACTTAGATTTTTTTCGAGAAATTGGTATTTTTCACTCAAACTTCTTCATTCCTTATAGGATTTACTTTAAAATTCCACATCGTAATAATATGACAAGGTTGTATAAACATAATTTCCTTACTAGGCAGGGAAACTTATCACATTACTGTGATATAGACAAACTCAAAAGATTTAAGTTCATTCATGTCATTCATTCACTGGTAAAATTGAATGGCCAATGACCCATCAGAATGTTGCTGGGGTTCTAACCGGTAGGGGACTTATGGATTGCTTGCAATACTATGATAATTGCTTGTTTATAATCATTTAAGAAAATATTTACATAATAAATGTGTAAATTTTCCTTATCACAATCATATTACAAAAAACTACAGTATATATAACATGAAAATCTCAATGAACATGCTAGCCAGTTAGCATTGCTCAATCGGTTAGAGCAGAAGACTTGTAATCTAGACATTGTAGGTTCGATTCCCGGGCTAACTAACTAAAATAACAGACTTTAAATCTAGATCCCATGTATGAGTGCTTAAAAACTTGGCATGCTATAAAACTAGAAGAAGCTTATGGAAGTGGAGCATCTTTCTGTTTCTTGCACTATCCTCTAAATTAATAAATGACTAATACTTGTCTGGAGGTCTCCCCCCATATGGGCAACCAGGGGCGAGTATAAATAAACTCAAATACACACACACATGAACTTACTGTGGCTGTTTAACTCTTACAAAGGGGATTATTAATAGTGAACTGGTTTTAATAGTGAATAAGCAACTTTTAGAACTGATGCAGTCCAACTTAACTAAATGTTTATGTACTCATGTCTCAGACTTTGATTTAGGTTTTTTATGCTTCCCAGGAAGAACATATACATGTAGTCGTCGCCTTGTCCGTCTTTCCATCTGTCCGTCCGTTGTGCTTGTCAGCAGCATAAACTGAAAACCCATGGACATGATTTGTTTACAGTGGCAGAGTGCATTGAGGCAGAGTGCAGTGCCAAACAACCATAACTCTTTTTCACCTCGTTTTTGAATTATCTCCCCTTTTAGAAAAATCTTGACCGAATTTAACTCATTATTATATTATAATCTTTTTTTATAAGATAACCCAATTGTTGTGTTACAAGTTCAGCATTCAATTACTACAATGTGTATAAAATGTACTACAAGTATTATTTATTTTCAAAGTTAAAGTACAATATTATTTCACCTTTTGCATGTTTCAAAGGGAATTCATGCATTTAAACATTATTTGTCAATAAAACACCATACTTTTGTTAACTGCGAAGAAATTTGTAGCAAGTTTAAATGTGAAGAAACTCTGGGCATTTGGAATGTTTACCTACTAGAAGTCATGTGACTGCCTTGTGGATACAGTGTATAGAGGCTTCAGTTGAGATATTTGGTATGAAACATTCCCAACATTGTTCAAATTATAGTCCTTGGGTCAAAATTGGCCCTGCCATGGGGTCATTGATTTTCATTATATACATATAGTAAAAACTTAAAAAATATTCTTTTCTGAAGATATAAGGCTTAAACTAAGCTTTGATATTTGGTAAATGATATCATCTATTTATCCTCTGAACAAAGTTTGCCTCTAGTGTCAAAATTGGTCCTACTCCGGGGGCTTTAGGTTTCCAAATATAGAAAAACACTCTAGGGACTACTGTTTCAGTCCAGATATCCTGGAAATTGGTCAGAAAGGTTGTTTAGATGGTTTGAATATGGGTCATCTGGGGTCAAAAAGTAGGTCTCGCAACCCAAATTATTGAAGAATATTGTGTACATTCTAGAGGTAATATATACATTAGAAATATCGTAAAAGTTTGTCTGATGATTTCTAGCTGGTCAACCATGGTCAAATTTAGTCCACACATACCAAAAATGGAAAAACTTTGTTATCACGCTAGAGGTTATATTTTTTGCTCAAACATCCTGGAAATTGGTCAGAAAGGTCTTTTATATGCTCGAAAGAATTGTGGGCATATTATGTTATACCCCCTGGCGTCCGTCCGTCAGTCCGTTAGCAATTTGGTTTCTGGAGCATAACTTAAGTTCCATTTGGCCCACAATATTCAAACTTCATAAGATAATTGTCCATTTTGGGTAGAAGACCCCTATTGATTTTTGGGTCACAAGGTCAAAGGTCAAGGTCACTTTTACCTTAAAACTGAAAACAGTTTCCGGAGCATAACTTAAGTTCCATTTGGCCCACAATATTCAAACTTCTTAGGAAGATTGTCCATTTTGGGTAGAAGACCCCTATTGATTTTGGGGTCACAAGGTCAGAGTCACTATTACTATAAAACTGAAATCAATGACTGAAGTATTAATCAACCTACAGCTGTAAAATTTTATAGGATGAACAGCCAAGCCCAATGCATGACCCCTATTGATTTTAGGGTCATGAGGTCAAAGGTCAGGTACACAATGACTTTTACACTGAAAATTGTGGTTTCTGGAGCATGACTTAAGTTACAGTTCAAACTTCATAGGAATGGATAGAAGACCCCTATTGATTTTGGGGTCACAAGGTCAAAGGTCAATATCAAATGACCTTTATATTGTAAACAGTTTTACAACTGTCAAACTTCAAAGGATGATTACTTATATTGAGTACATTAATTATATGCCCTAAAAAAATTCTGTTATACCCCTGGCTTATGTTATACCCCTGGCATCTTTCTGTCCATCGGCCGTAGCATTTTTACTTACAAGATAACAACTTGATGGTGGTGCTTTTGAAACAGCAACTGTATATACATGTATATTTAAAGGTTTAAAGGAGGATTGCTTTTTGAAGGAGGTAATATTTTATTTAATTCCCATGTCTTACAAATGTTTCATCCTTACTTAACAACCACTTTTGAGCATATAATGCTCCACCTAGCGGTGCTCTTGTTGTATGATTTCTAGTTCAGGTTTGAATATGGGTCATCTGAGGTCATGAAAAGGCATTATATCTGCCTTTCATTCATTGCTTACATTATTAATTCAGAGCCTCTATAATCAGGTGAGCGATATAAGGGCCATTATGGCCCTCTTGTTTATAAATCTGATGTGTTCTCCTAAATATGTAATAAACAAAAATCTAGTGTGGCTCTATGCTGGCTACTAATTTGAGTATAGTAGATCCATCATTAACAAAAACCTATTGCACTAGTTCCTTTTAAATGATGGTAGATTCCTGATGGTAGGTAGACTTCAGACATGTATAGTTAATAGTGTTCTTAACTCTTTGCCTGCCTCTAGCAAACAGATTTTTACCCATGCAACCTGTGTAGGCCAAGATCTCTCTCTTGCTGTCTGATCATACTCTGCCTTGTTCTCTTTTCAATTTGTACATGTTTTAAAATTTTCCATAAAATTGATGAATGGTTTTGGCCAACATTTAAGATGGACAGGTCCATTTAAGATTTTAAGTCGGATAATGGTTAAGCATTAGTGGTGTGAATCTGTTTGTTGAGAATAAGATTGATGTGAAGAATTTTAAATTTTCAGTTGGTGTTAAGAGAAAATGATCTGATTTCCATACCAAAGGAAATTGGTGAACTGGTAAGGTTACGAGAATTGCATATTCAAGGAAACAGACTTACAGTTTTACCACCAGAAATAGGTAAATATTGTAGCTTTAAAACTAAAATTGCAGACACATATTTGATTTTGTAATAATTTATATAACAGCTAATGCTTGAACGCCAATTTGTTTCCTATAAAATTTTCCCTTAAAAAATTCCTTTCAAGTTAAAAGATAGGAGGTATCTGAAATTCGACAGAAGTTAAGGGAATTTTGACTTAGGGATTTTTATAGATAGATAGATTTATTTCGGCAAAGGAAGCATATACATAGTTGACAATATAACATAGGATAAAATAATGAGCATTATTAAATACTATATCACATACGAGAAAACTATGACATGCTCACCAAAACCAAGGATAACACAAAAAAGGGCAAAAAAGCTCTTACTTCCATTGTGGTCCTTTGTATTGGCGGCATGACATAGAGAGGCAGACCTAAATATAATCATGTTTAAAAATACTAATAAATCATAAAAATGTATATCACAGTCAAATCTTGAGTTAATGATACTCCTGTTTACAGCTAGGATTTAAAACACATTACTAAAATTGTAAAAAGATAAATAGCAGACAATTTAAAATCCTGAGCCGAAATATGTAAAAACATAGTAAAAAAAAAAATTAAATACTGTTCATAAGATGACTTTTGATTGCAACCTTAAAACTTTGTAACCTGTTGATCTCCGTTAACTCTACAGGTAAATCATTCCATAATTTAATACCAGAGAAAGCAAAGGATTTAGAACCCTGACCTTTGACCTTAGGTAGACAATTGCCACCCTTTTGACTAAGACTTGTACTATAGTTATGTACGGAATCTTGCGAAATAAAGTGTTCAGACATGTAATCCGGAGACAGGCCATTTTTTATCTTAAAAACATGACACAACATTATCTGTTCAACTCTTCTGTGGACTGGTAACCAGTTAAGGGACTTAAAGTGGGATGGGTCAATATGGGCTCTGAAATCCAAGTCAAGTACAAATCCCATTATTTTGTGTCAAGCTATTATACCAAACAGAGCATGCGTTATCATAGTGACACTGAATAATCTTATGAATAAGACTTAAGATTTTCCTTATAAATTAAGGCAAAATTGTATGATTTTAAGGGAAAACTTGAGTTAAGGGGAAATTTTTCACTTAAGATTCTTTATGAATATGGCTCCTTGGGGAGCTCCCCCCCCCCCCCCCGGACGAAAGCTCCCCCGTCTAAAAATGACAAGGTGGACAAAAGCCCCCCCATGAAATATACACATAGGACAAAAGCCCACCCCCCCACAAAAAAGTAAAGGTAGGACAAAAGCGCCCCCCCCCAATGGTCAATAAAATTTACATGAAGTGTATTAAAGTTGTGTTTTATATGTGTTTAAAAGATATGTATGGACATCATATGTAGGTGACATAGTGCTAAGGATATTAATTTGATCCCTTTACAAAAGTGATTAAACATTACTACTCTTCTGACCCTTGTTGTGTATATGAAAAGCTATGAATTCAGTATCGCATGCATGCATTATTTCATCTGTTATCATATACTTTGTTATCACTTCAATATATACATTATAAATAAACATTTAAAAAAATTTTACATTTTTAGTAAAAGTTTATGTGAAATTTGATGAATTTGAGCACCTATACTTGTGAAAAAAGATTGGGGGGGGGGGGGGGGGGGGGCTTTTGTCCTACCTGTATTTTTGATGGGGGGGGGCTTTTGTCCTATGTGGAAATTTCATTGGGGGCTTTTGTCCACCTTGACATTTTTTAGACGGGGGGGGGGGGGGGGCAGGTCGGGGGCTTTCGTCCGGGGGGGGGGGGGGCTTTTGTCCTACACTCGGCTCCTTGTCTTTATTTTTGCACACCTTAGCTGCTTTTATGCCAACTGCAATGTGATGGCATATGTGATTTCAACCACACTTGCTAGGATTGTTCCTTGGCTTAAGGGCTTCCAAAGTTGTTCAAAGAATTTGATTCCATTCAGAATAGTGGTCGCAATGGCAACCAAAACGAATATTAGGGAGAATTTTGAAAAAACTTTCTCATCTAGAATTAAAAGGCCTAGAGCATAGATATTTTGCACGAGGCATTGCCTTAGATTTTTGTGATATAAGAATTTTTATACCACCGCAGCAGTGTATGTGTGCACGCGTGTGTGTGATATAGATTATATAGTGAACTTAGAAAATATTCTTATGAAAAACCACTGGTCCAATATCAAGCAAACTTGGCAGGATAGATCCTTAAGTGAAGGGCTTCCAAAGTTGTTCAACGAATTTGAGTCCATGCAGAAACCTGGTTGCATTGGCAACCAAAAGGAAATATAAGAATAATTTTAAAAAATCTTCTAATGACCCACAAAGCCTAGAGCATAAATATTTTGCATAAGGCATTGTCTGGTAGACTTCTATCAAGATTGTTCAGTCAGTCAGTCTTTTTCATTGTTTCCGGGCGAGAACTTTTGAAATTTGAGTTTGGAATGAGGTATTGTAATCAAACTTGGTTTGTATTGCATTTGGACCCCCTGGGGTCAAGGTCGCCATTACTATAAATAGAAAAATGGTTTCTGGACAATAACTAGAGTTAGGAATGAGATATTGTAATCAAAGTTGGTGTATAGCAAGCTTATATGAAGACACCGGTTGGTATTGCATTTGGACCCCCTTGGGACAAGGTCATAGTCACTGTTACTGAAAATAGAAAAATGGTTTCCATACAATAACTAGAGTTAGGAATGAGATATTGTAATCAAACTTGGTGTATAGCAAGTTTATATGAAGATCCTTGTTGGGATTACAATTAATTATACCCCCACAAACTAAGTTTAGGGGGGGGGGGGGTATATAAGAGTCAGCTTGTCCGTCGGTCCATCGGTCGGTCCACATCATGGTTTCCGGACGATAACTAGAGTTTGGAATGAGGTATTGCAATCAAACTTGGTATATAGCAACCTTATGTGTAAACTGTGGTTGGTATTGCATTTGGACCCCCTGGGGTCAAGGTCATGGTCACCGTTACTAAAAATAGAAAAATTGTTTCCGGACAAAAACTAGAGTTAGGAATGAGATTTTGTAATCAAACTTGGTGTATAGCAAGCTTATATGAAGACCTGGGTTGGTATTGCATTTGGACCCCCTGGGGTCAAGGTCACCGTAACTACAAATAGAAAAATGATTTCCATACAATAACTTGAGTTAGGAATGAGATTTTGTAATCAAACTTGGTGTAGAGCAAGCTTATATGAAGACCTGGGTTGGTATTGCATTTGGACCCCCTGGGGTCAAGGTCACCGTTACTACAAATAGAAAAATGGTTTTCGTACAATAACTAGTTAGGAATGAGATATTGTTATCATACTTGGCGTATAGCAAGCTTATATGAAGACCTGGGTTGGTATTGCATTTGGGCCCCCTGGGGTCAAGGTCAAGGGTACCGTTACTAAAATAGAAAAATGGTTTCTGGACAATGACTACAGTTAGGAATGAGATATTGTAATCGAATTTGGTGTATAGGAAGCTGATATGAAGATATGGGTTGGTATTGCATTTGGACCCCCTAGGGTCAAGGTCACCGTTACTGTGTTACTAAAAATAGAAAAATGGTTTCTGGACAATAACTAGAGTTAGGAATGAGATATTGTTATCAAACTTGGTGTATAGTAAGCTTATATGAAGACCCCGGCTGGTATTGTTTTTGGACCCCCTGGGGTCAAGATCAAGGTCACTGTTACTAAAAAAAGAAAAATGGTTTCTGGACAATAACTGGAGTTAGGAATGAGATATTGTAATCAAACTTTGTGTATAGCAAGCTTATTTGGAGACCCAAGTTGCGATTACAATTAATTGAAATATTTCTTTGTACACAGTTGATAGTTTGTGTTCAAATTTTTTCTTCAGACTACTTTTTTTTTCAAAAAGTCAAAGTTGCTGGTGGGGGTATTAATCACCTTCAGTGATAGGTCTAGTTGAAATAATTCTTTGTACAAAGTTGATACTTCATTTACTATAGGTTAAGTTCAAATTTTTCTACAGACAACTTATTCTCAAAAATTCAAAGTTGCTAGTGGGGGTATTAATGACCTTCAGCATACATGCCATAACGTCCGGGAAAGTCCCGGAAATATTATAAGGTTTTAGTTCCGGAGATGATTTATGTCCCCGTAAAAAAAATCTAAAATAATCTACTTAATACCCAGAAATGTTACATTTTTATATAATCTTATTGTCAAGTTTTTATAAACTATTCTAGAACGCGAATTACGAACGATTATCCCCTTACAGCATTGTATGGTGACACTAATCCTTTGATTGGTATATCTATGTGCCCCTTCCAACAAACAATTTTCGGCAAAAATTTTGATCAAATTAAAAGATTAATTGTTTACCCCCTGTGGCTTCCTGAGCGATGGTGTCATAAACTGTAATTCAGGCAGATATTAGTGGTCAAACACTGTGAAAATTACGCTAAATATGAGGTGATTTCAGTGAATGTTTCAGGTAAAAGACATGGCTAATTGTCCTTACTTAACCAATTACTTCATATACACGCCTTTTAACGCCTTTTTCACCGCCCCCCCCTTTTTGTTGTCTCAAATGATGAAAAAATGCCTTATTTAGGCCCCAAACACTTGTCTTTGTTTGAGAAATGTTGTTAAAAAAAGTGACCTCTTTTTCGGCGCGGCCCCCCAACCAAAAGATACATCAGGGGGTTGCCAGAAGGGGGATGTGCCCCCTTCTGTTTGGGGGGTTTGAAGGGGGGCGGAGTCCCCCTCATCGCCAAGAAAAATTTTGGACTTGTGAGAGGCTGTAAATGACCCCAGATTGATCATAAGGTAACGTGTAACCAACACTGAAAAGCATTTGACTCTATCTCAATCCATTGAGAAAGTGCAGCACTTTGAAATCAATTTTGATGGAAAAAATCAACGCAAAATAGTGATTTTTGGCAATTTTGAGATGTCCCCTCGTTGCCATGGTAACAGAAAATTTAAGCCTGAGCATGTTGTTGCAAGTGCAATGGTCCAGTCAACATTTGTGCCA